GAGGAGAGACCACTAAAGGGGGTGGAAGAAGAGAGACCCCTAAGTGAGGGTGGAGGGTGAGAAGAGACAACTAAGGGAGGGTGGGTGGAGAGGAGAGACCACTAAGGGAGGGTGGGAGGAGAGGAGGGACCACTAAGAGACATTTGAGGGGGAGAGAGAAAGTGGGAATGGAGAGACCACTAATGGAAAGGGGGGGAGAAGAGACCACTAAGGAGGGGAGGAGAGACCACTTGGGGGGTGGACAGAGGAGAGCAGAGAGCACTAAGGGGAGATGAGAGACCACCACTAGAAATGGGGAGAAGAGAGAGACCACCATGGAGGGGGGAGGAGAGTAGAGACCACTAAGGGACAGGGGAGGAGAGGAGAAACCACTAAGGGGCAGGGGAGAGCTCGAAGGGATGGGGGGGTAGAAGAGAGCACTAGGAGACAGGAGGGGAGAGCACTAGGGGAAAGGGGGCAGGGAGATCACTAAGGGACAGGGGAGATCAGTAAGAAACAGTGGGACAGGGGAGAGCACTAAGGGACAGGAGGGGAGAGAAGCTGAGGAAGAGGGGGAAGAGAAGCACAAAGGAGCTGGTAGGACTCAGCCCCTATCCTACCCCAAAAACTCTCTCTTTCACACTACGCGCACACACACACACACACACACACACAATGCATCCCTATACATACAGAAACACAACATGCTTCCCTTACACACAGAGAAACACATAATGCATCAATGACACACACACACAATGCAACCATTACACACAAAGACAATGCATCCTTTTGCACACATCACACAGAAACACACAATGAATCCCTTACATAAACACAAACAAAAATACACTGCTTCACTTACACACACAGAAACAAACCTTGCATCCCTTACGCATACAAACACAGATTCAACCAATGCATCCTTACACACAATCAGAAACACACAATGCATCCCAAAACACTGTTTTCTATCCCTTACACAAATTTTCTTTTGCCATGGCAGCAAAAATCCTTGCACCTGCCCTGTATCTATCTATCTATCTATCTATCTATCTATTGCTCCATCTACTTATTAGTGGGCAAGGGGCTGGGCTACAGGCACCTGAAGATCCCTCCAGTTTATGTGAAACCACTTGGATATACTTTGAAACAGAACCAGGGGACGAAACCACTAGTCTGCTAGGAACCATAACCACTACAACATAATGTTGTGGTTATGGTGCCTGGACTGCCCCTTTAAGGACTTTAAAGTAGCTAGAATGATAAAAACCATCAATGATTATAAAGCTAGATACATTTTGTATGTACATTTGTCAGTTATCACTATAATTTGTTGGTGTTTTGTTACTATGGCTGCAATTTGCAAAATTAAGACCAAAACAAACTTATTGAAAAATAAAATGAATAACTTTGCTGATTTGTTTTCTTAAATATTGCAATTGAAATAACAGCTCAGCCCAACTCATTTTTTATTCAATGACCCCCTTAATTATTTTATCATATTTGGGATAACTGTCTTTACTGCAAGTTCTAGTTTCACCTCAGCATTCAGCATACAAGTGAATGTATATTTTACTGTGCCAAAAATGTAGTGAGATTTCTCAGATATTTGCCACCAATGAGAGAAATGCCTTCAATGTTTGTCACAAGAGTACACACACAGTATTACACTGACCTTTTGCTCTCTGGAAGTTAAGAGGCATGCACTTGTGGAATTCAATGCCTTGGCTATAGCAATAGTCCATAAAATGATAGACATGTTCTCTGTCATTGCCTTATAGCAATTGCCATGTGCTCTGAGCTAGGACATCCAGTGGAAAAACAGCAGAAACCATATATTATTGATAAGATGACATTCATCTGCCTCATTATTGTTTGGAAGGAATTTTGGAAGAAATTGCTGAAAAACAAAACAAAACATGGTACTGTTTGTGTTAAGTACAGCATAAATTTGTAGATTTTGAAGGGAATATAACTATAACAAATGTTTTGTAGCCAACTACGTCGCAGAAGTTCATAATAGATGAGGCAGTACCTATTTTGTGCCAAAATCCCTCTGTCACTCTTTTCTATCATAATGACACTCTTTTTTTGGAGCTCTGTACTTTTGGTCTGTCTGAGTGTAAACAGAGCTCCACTGACTCACAGTAAGACTCTTTAAAGTACAATAACTGTTTTTAGAAATCAATCTGTGTAAATAGGATACATTGTTATTGCTCTAAATTACTTGTAGTTGCAAAATTATAACAAGCAGGTAACCTCAAATTTCTCATAATTGCTTTGCCCAAGGCCACACCGCCCAACCACAGCCCTAAAATGAAAGTGCTCTTTGTCTATTTGTAATGTCGGAATATATGCTGCTGTATATTTACTTCGATTAGCATAAATACTCGATTTTATAAAATAAAGTATTTATTTTTTTAATGTTTTCGCCCATTACTTAGGCATCTCTGTTCAGGTTAATCAAATATGCTTTATTTGAAATTTACAAGTAAAGTTTAAATTTTACACCAATTAGCCAAAATTAATATTCAGTTATGTTTTTTTAGTTTCAATATTGTGGTCCCAAAAATTTTTAATTTACTCTACATTCCAGACAAGTCACACTTCAGTGAATACTACTAGTGATGTCCCGAACGGTTTGCGGAACAGTTCGCCACGGACGGCGAACATAAACATAAACTTTGACCATGTACCTCACAGTCAGCAGACACATTCCAGCCAATCAGCAGCAGACCCTCCCTCCCAGACCCTCCCACCTCCTGGACAGCTCACTAAGAATGCACCTTCAAAATGAATGTAAAATGGATGCTGTCCAGGAGGTGGGAGGGTCTGGGAGGGAGGGTCTGCTGCTGATTGGCTGGAATGTGTCTGCTGACTGTGAGGTACAGGGTCAAAGTTTATGTTTATGTTCGCCGTCCGTGACGAACCGTTCGGCGAACCGTTCGGGACATCACTAAATACTACTGTTTGATTGTGGATATATGCAGTTGAAACCAACTGCAGAAAAAAAAGCTATTACATGAGTTTTAACCAAATCCACTAAAGCAGAGTAGCACAAAAACAATTGTTTATATGATAAATTATTTGTCAATTACAGTGGAAAACTATAATACGTTGCAAAATAAACCAAAAGATACATTTGCACTTTACAATTGTTTTATTTGTATTACGTTTTTTTAATCAAATATGAGTTGTTTTTCCATGTCAGGGTTTCTTTAAGTGACATAGCTAAATAAAAAGAGTGATTAAAACTATAAATGGAAGAAGTATCAACTAAAACATTTATTAAATACAGCAAAAACAATAAAATCCACACATAGAATAAACAGGAGCTTGAGATGGACAAAAATGTTGGTTGTTAGATATTGTTGGATATGGGGGAAGTTACACATTGGGGTGATATAACCTTATTGATAAACTGGTGTTAGTCTAGATGAGTACCTGCAAAGAGCCATTTCTAAACCTAACCTTCATAGCTATTGCACCGAGGGAACAATCATGACCAACATGGCCAATCATGACCAAGTCATATGATACTTTTTTTTTTATGGATATGGAGATACTACGTGCAAAAGCTGACTGTTATGTCTCTTCTAGGTGGGATGCAAAGGTGTTTAGCTGTGCTAATTCCTAGCCTGATTCCACCTACCTTTTATGTAGTTCAAGGACATTTAAGGTTACATTTTCGTTTTTTTTGTTTTTGTTTGGACAATCACTATTTCAGGACTGTCTTTTTCTCTTAAGAAAACAAATAAATGGGAGATTTGTAAAGTAATTAACTTGGGAATGTGCCAAGTTATGAGCATTTGCAGGCTCACCTATCACATTTTCTTCAGATGTTTGGTTGCTCCAATGATAATGTAAGAGCAGTGTTAACAAGTGAATATGAGTGGCCTAACATTTACAATTCTCTCGTCAATTTTCTAAAATTTCTATTTTAGTATATATCAGAAGATGGCAGAGAGAGGGAATATGAGTGGCCTAACATTTACAATTCTAATTTCTATTTTAGTATATATTGAAAGGATGGTAGAGAGAGGTTATTCCCCCCCCCCAAAAAAAAGTTGTACTTTTTTGGCTATATTAAAAACAAAAACAAATAATAAAAAAAACATTAACGTGTCCATATTTCTGATAAAAAGTCTTAACTACACTGAAGAAATGCATTGTATTCTGTACATACACAAGAAAATATCATAACAAGAATATGTTAACTGCACACACATATGACATTCAACAGAAAGGGGGCACATAGGACCTTACCTAAGTGTTTTCTTTCTCTTTTCGGCCCAAGAACATATATTTTACCCATGTCTACTTATTATACATACATTTTACAATTGTATATGTGTAGAATACAATTTGACTCAAATATAATTAACTAATACATAATTTTTGCTCACTAAATATAAAAATGTTGTAGTGCATCAATTAAGCTGGTAAGCTTTGCCTGACACCTAGTGGCTATTTTATACAACTGAGCTTCAATATCTTATCTAATACTGCCGTATGTTGTGAAGGAACAAATTACCCACTCTCAAATGGCAGTGGAATGCAATTAAATAGGATGACTACCACAGGAGTTGCTATGAGAATATGCACTTGTGAAATACAGTATCCGGGTTATATCAAAAGATTACACAATTACCTTATTACTATTTACAGAAAATCTGAAAATGAAATAAAGTGAAACATGGGAGCTGATGTTAGAACGTATATATACTTATGTTATACTATTATACGGTATGTGTATTTTTGAAAATTATTTCACTTTGTATGGCTAATTATATTCCATGTTGCCAACTGAGCCATTGTCAGGATTATTAATGACCCTGATATTCAGAACTTGCAGGTCACATCTCCTCAAGAAATGATAATAGGCAGGCAGGACAGTACTTCCAATAGTGGGAACTTGGACTTAATTTTTTAAAATACTTTATTTTCGAGCACAGGTAGATTTATGACATATTATTTAGACATCACGTAGCAGTGCACTAAGGTTATTTTGTACCAGTCTTGAACAATGTTACATAATAATCAATATAGATTACAAAGTTGATTGTTTTACATCTTTGCGACAGTAGACATACATCAGGTATAATATATGTGGTGGTATATGGTGTTGCAAAGCTGGGTATGTTCTAGGAATGTTTGTGTTCCAAGTGTGCAGTTGATGAATATGTACAATATGTATTATTGTAACTGCCCTTAGACTCCTTTTGTGGTTGTATAAAAACAAATAAGGTGCGCTATGTCTTTAAGACGTATACTTAAAGCGGCACTGTCATGGCCGAATCACGTTTTTTTTAACCCCCCCTCCCGATTCCACTACATCTAACTGACCCCCTAGTCGCACCCAAATGCACCTAAGTCCCACATATTACCTATTTTTAAATTTTATTTTATATCCGGACCAATGTTCAGGGCGCCGCCATCTTTGTGTGGGTAGATGAAGTCCCTGTGGGACATGTAATCTGCCCACAATAGATAGCGCTGTGAGATTCCTGCGCATGCCCAGCTAAACACTTGGGCATGCGAACGGGAATTTTATCCACTCATTCATTTGTCAGAAAGATGAAGGAATGACTAGAAATGTCAGACGAACAAACAAACACTGAATATCAGTGTTTGTTTGTTCGTTCAGTTTATTACAAGGCGGGAGCTACTGGCGCGCAGCTCCCTCCTTGCAAAATGTAAAGATAGAAGCAACAGGTAGCAGTGCTTCCCACCACTTCCTAAGCCCCCCCCCCCCATGTCCTCCCTCACTCTATGGGGGTCAATATGACCTCCATTATAGCATAAGGGAGATTAAAATCTCCTGAATGCCCCTACTCGCTATACCGCCTGTGGCTTGCTCACTGTTAAAAAAAAAACCTTTAGGGTGGGGGCCTAAAGGATAATGGGGGGGTACCTATTGTCCCCCCTCTGGCCCCCACCCTTGAGCGGTGGGTGGGGGCCATAAATAACAATGAGGGGGGGACCTATTGTCCTCCCCCCCCGGCCCCCAGCCCTGAGCGGTGGGTAAGGGCCATAAATAACAATGAGGGGGGGACCTATTGTCCTCCCCCTGGCCCCCACCCCTGAGCGGTGGGTAAGGGCCCCTAATATACCCCCCTTCTAAGGTGACTAGGGGTCCCCAAGCCCCTAGTCACCCCCACCCAAATAAAAAATAATCCCCTACCTACCAAGAGCTAAAGGCTAGGTCAGAGATACATAAGTCTGGAAAATTCCTGACCTAACCTTTATATGTATTGGTGCAACCGCTATAAACTAATGTAGATTTAAAAAATAACTTTTAATAAAACTTAACTAAAAGTACTATATATAAACACACAAAGTGGAAGGGGATGGGGGAAATAAGTGTGCTAAAAGGTACTGCCGTTATGTGATAATAGTACCTATGACACGGGGGGGAGGAAGGTTGGTAATAGTGAAATAGTCTCAGACGTCCAAAGAACCAAATAGTAATGAAATACAGATATCCCCAACTCCCATCACGCAGTACCAAAATAGCATCAAATCACTTTACCTCTAACACTAGTAGTTTATCTGAAACTAACTATTAGCTACATATCAAAACATGAAATGGTAAGTTAAAATATATAGCGAGGTGGCTAATCTGGGAGAGTAAGTAGCTGCAGCATCATCCCCTGTCTACCCCTGCCACCCTCTGCTCTAGAAGTCCCGATGCGCGTTTCGCCGAGTACCGGCTCTTCCAAGGGTTAGGTCAGGAATTTTCCAGACTTACCCATCTCTGACCTAGCCTTTAGCTCTTGTTCTTAGTTATATTTCCTTTAGGGGTTACCCCCCCATTAACTACTGGCAACCTGACACACTCTCCCTACCTTTATTTCTATTAAGGGTAAATTAGTGTTTCTTCTATGACTTTAGCATAAAAAATGTGTTGTTACCACAATACTCATAACTCTCTGTCTTTTGTATCTTGTAAATCTATACATAATTATTGTGTAACAGTTTTTTTTTAAATCATAATTAGGAATATATCTAAATAGTTCTATTACCTCCGAAATATGTGGATGATCCCATATACATGGAATTAACCATATAGACATATTCCTATTAAAGGAACACTCCCAGCACCCAGACCACTTCAGCTAATTGAAGTGGTCTGGGTGCTGTGCCCCTATTGCACTTAGTGCTGCAACATAAAACATTGCAGTTCATTGCAGCTCTAAGTCTGCCCTCTGTGGCTGTCTAACAGACTGCCACTAGAGGGCTTCTGGAATCCAAACCGACCTTTGGACGGTTATCTGACGCTGGACGTCCTTACGGACCTCCAGCGTCAGATGTTCCCCATAGGAAAGCATTCTATAATGCTTTCCTATAGGGAGGTTTAATGCGGTTTCCTATAGGGAGGTTTAATGAGGTTTAATGCGGAGGTTTAATGAGTGGCAGGGGGAGGGACGTGGGCGGGGTCTGACCCAGCGCCGAGGGACAACGGCACTGGATTCAGGTAAGTAGCTGAAGGGGTTTTAACCTTCAGGGGGGTGGGAGAGATGAGAGCAGTATCCTGCAGTGCCAGGAAAATGGGATTGTTTTCCTGGCACTGGAGAGAATGAGTTAAATAGATTGTTTATTTTGAGACTAAATGCAAATTACACTTGTAATAATACTTTTAGCCACAAGATGTCGATAAAGGAGTACTTTTCCAGATTATTTTACAGTAAAATTCTAGTAAAAAAGATTTTATAGCTAGCAAAAAAACAAACATTAAATACATTTTTAAAAATGAGCAGAGTGGTTCCTGTTGCTATTTATTTATTACTGGTATTTATAAGGCACCAACAGATTCTGCAGTGCTGTACAATTAGTGGAGAACATGCAATATACAAAGACAAATACAAAATACAAAAGGTAGCGAGGGCCCTGCACGTAAGCTGAGATCTAGCCATTTCAACTATTTTATACAAAGCCCAGAAGCTTACAATCTAAAGGATACAGTGGGGATTTGAGACAAGAGGTAGCAGGGAAAGTTTGGAAGTGATGGCTAAATAAGTAAACAGAGAGTTGCCGCTATTGGTAGAATACAGAGGGAACAAAGAGGTAATTGAGTGAGAATCTTAAACAGCTGGAGGAGCATGCTATAAATTTAGGGGGAACCTGGAACCTGGCTGGGCGGGATGAGGGGCGTGTGGGTGGGTTGAGTCGAGTAGAATTAACCCCATTAAGGAAAGAGCTTCAGAAGCTTGTCTTTCACTTAATGACAACTGCATTTTTTGCTGTTTACGTTCAACTGCAATTTGCATTTTACTAATTTATTGCATCGACACATATTATATACCGTTTTTTAAAGGACAGAAAGGGCTTTAATTTGGTGTAACATATACATACATATATATACACACATATATATATAAATGTTTTGTCCTGATGAAAGCTCCATGTGGGAGCTGAAACGTTGACTTTTTAAATGGATTGAATAAAAGCTAAATTTTATTTGAAAATCTCTATAAAGTCCTTGGAGTGCGGTCATTTCTGCTATGTCTACATGATCCTTGCCAGACCAGCACCGGGCACCACAGGATTACACCAGGAGTGCAAGCCCTCGCTATTTGTGTGTATATATATATATACTTATTTATTATAAAAAAATACAGAAAATGCAAAACAAATTCAAAATTTTGTGTTTTTTTTACAGTTTTTGCAATAATAATGTATGCATAATTAGTACAGGTTAAGGAAAGTAATTAAAAATAAATTAATTTAGTTGTTCTGATTTACAGAATATATAATGTATAAAAATTGTTTTTGTATAAAAGTATATACAAAGGGATAGAGGGAGAAGGAGACCTAATAAATAGAGCTCTTAAACTGGATAAAAATAGGGATCCACCAAAAAAACTGAGATGATTGCTACTAGATTAGCAGCGATAGGGATCCAGGAGCTGACAAATAAATACTGCAAGGATGGGAAAAAAATAGAAATATATATAGAGTTAAAAATTGAAATATATATAGAGTTAAAAAAATATATAATATAATTAAATAAATTAAATTATAGAGAACATAAAAAGGTAAAAGAGTGTTTGAGAATATACAGATATGTGTGGCAGGATTGTTAGTACAGGTAGTAAAAAACTCTGGGTAACAGCAATCTATGCCAAATAATATGCTTTCATACACAACATGAGTAAGAAAGATAAACAGGCATCATTCCCTCAAAGTATGCAGCCTGCCAAAATACCATATATATTATGGATCTATGATAATAAGCAGACACCAGTATATAGAAAACTGGCTGCTCGAAGCAATGTAAAAAAGATAGCTATATCGCTTGAGAGTGATAAAATATCAAAATCAATTTATTGAAACAAATATAAAAATATATTAAAATATATGTCCACAATTGAGGCAATAGGTGATAAAAGGTAAGTATAGTACAGAGACCTTTGCTGCCGGCTCGGATGGATATGGATGATGATTTCTCATACAGTATTCAGATGCTGGTAACCTGTGAGGTCGGTTTGCGTGTCACAGTGCGTTCCACCTCGAGCCTCACTTCGAGGGGAACGACACTGCTCTCCAGATCGTGCTGTTGGGGAGGATGAACTCCAAACTCCAAACCGATCGCCGGATTGCTGTGCTCGTGCCTCTTCACCTTCTCACTCTATCGCTGTGTGGACTCTCTCGAACTAGTCTGACGCGTTTCGTAGGGAATAGCCCTACTTCCTCAGAGACATATTTTATCACTCTCTAGCGATATAGCTATCTTTTTTACATTGCTTCGAGCAGCCAGTTTTCTATATACTGGTGTCTGCTTATTATCATAGATCCATAATATATATGGTATTTTGGCAGGCTGCATACTTTGAGGGAATGATGCCTGTTTATCTTTCTTACTCATGTTGTGTATGAAAGCATATTATTTGGCATAGATTGCTGTTACCCAGAGTTTTTTACTACCTGGACTAACAATCCTGCCACACATATCTGTATATTCTCAAACACTCTTTTACCTTTTTATGTTCTCTATAATTTAATTTATTTAATTATTTTATATATTTTTTTAACTCTATATATATTTCAATTTTTAACTCTATATATATTTCTATTTTTTTCCCATCCTTGCAGTATTTATTTGTCAGCTCCTGGATCCCTATCACTGCTAATCTAGTAGCAATCATCTCTAGAATATATAATGTGTCTGGGATTTTAAGTTTTTTTTGGTAATTAGAGGTCACAAAGCACAAGGAGTAAA